CTCATTCAAAGCAACATCTGTTCAGACTGCTATGGCTTACCAAAGACCTCTAACTTATTTCCAGTGACTGTGTAGCTGAACTTATTGCCTCCTGAATTGTGTTGGGACATCTGGACTGAGTGTATCAAAGCAGGCAATGCTAAAGTCCCAGTGGCTGAGGAAAAAAATCTGAGTTAATTAGCACGATGCATGTTTAATTAAAGCCAATTACAATATCTGAAATGACCTAATCGAAACCTGCTTTTTTTCAGTGAAGGTGCCCTCAGCTCCTGCTGTTCAGGAGTGAAATAAATACCGCACTTAAGACCGCAGTTTGGTGTTTGATATTTCTGAGGGCTTCTTTTGGCTCCACGCGGCGTTTATTTTGCTCGATCTAACATGTGATATTTGATCCATGTCTCTGCGCCAAAGGCTACTCTGTTCATTCGCGTCTTTCATTGGCTATAATTTGTTCTATTTGCACCGCGGGCTTTGAGCAGATTCAGCGCTGATCTGCTGAGCTATAGAAGAAAATGATGAGTACGAAAAATTACTATTACATCTTATTCCTCTAAACTTTCTGTTCGTTTTTTTCCCGCGTAAATCTGCGTTCAGAAGGCAGTTTCGTTTAATATGAGATAAATTTCCAAAAGATTTTGAAATATAATGTAAGCTATCGCATGTAAACGGATGAGAATCCACTAAAGTGACTAAAATGAAACAGAAGTCTGATCCAGGCGTGTACAATACTGGGTAAAGAGAAGCGCTGTAAGTGGGCTGCACTCCACCAGCGGGACGATAGGAGGCGCTCTTTAACAAATTTCAGAAAGGGGCTGCAGGGGTGGAGGTGTGGGGGGGTAAAAGAACCGTGCAGACCTGCCCCTCTGCTTTCTGCCCCCCTTTCAGCTTATACTGCAAACGCTGCTCACAGCTTTAAAACAGAGATTCGGTGTCTTAGTCTATTTTACAACACTGATAAAACAAAAAGTATCTCTGTTTCACTTTCAGTCTTGAATTTTCGCTTTTTATGTTTTATTTTGTGTTGTTTTTTGCTTTTCGTGTATTTAATAATTTTCCCTATGACTCAAAATTGACTAAATTCAAAGCTACTATTTTGTTAGATATGTAAAACGTGTATATGTATTTGGTTTGTTTTTGCACGCCAATTAATTCGTCACTGATACATTTGTTTTCCTTCCATAATAATAATAAATTTGAATTATGACGGTCAAATATAATTACCTGTTTATGTACCTGCACTCTGCTCTTTATTACAGATGCCATTAGGTGTCATTAAGCCGTAGACTGAATGCAACAGTTTAAAGCACACTGCTGAATGATTGATTTAGTGCATGTGCTGGAGCCCACCGTCTGATTTTTATCTATCAGAGACCAACAGTGCCAACAACACGGGAGCACGCTTTATATACGCTCAACAAATTCGCTACTGTCGTCAAAATTTTAGCGCAAACATTTCCACTTTAAAAAAAGCGCGCTTGGATGTTTGTTTGTTTGGATGTTCAGTAAATGCGTTATTGTAACTCCAGTCTCCTTCCTGAGTCTGTGATAGCTGACTGCTCATGTGGCGCTGATAGATGCGCGTCCACACGGGGTCACCTAGCCTGCCCATCCATCCTCAAACCAACCTGAGCTCAAACTTGACCGACTTGCATTTTGCAACCATCCCACCGTATCTATAGTGTGGTCAAGTGCGCGTTTGGTCAGCTGCGCTCGTTTCCTGCTCTCGGTTAGGATGTTAGGACGTGCTCTGGACTGCAGTCCGTTTCAGAGCCTCATTGGAGGACTAAAAGCGCAGTTGTGATTTAGTTTCATGTCTCAACGTGAAGATGAAAAACCTCCCCAGCACTCTTCCTCCTCCGCTTTGCTCGAGCTCTGGAGCTCCTCCAGAGTCCACAGAGGCAGACCTGAGGCTCATCTGGACTGGCTGGACTGGGCCGAGGTGGTGGGGGGGGCAAATAGGGGAGGACCCCGCGTGTTTTTACGCGGGTATGGCATGCACGAGGAAGAAGAAGAGAAAAGAAGGAGGAGGAGGAGGTGGAGGAGAAGAAGGAGGAGGACAGCTGGGCACTGGCCATCTCACTGACTTCGCCTTTGACATCTGGGAAAGCCGCCGGTGTGTGGCACGCGAATGGGCTGATGTCGCTATTTAAATGCAAATTTTGCAGGGGATCATTGAAGCCTCGGCCCGTATAAATTCACACAAAAGGAAACACTTCGCGCACAATGAAGGAGGAGGAGGAGGAGGAGGCGCGTTTCTTCGGGAGGTCTCGGGCAAACACCAAGCAAATCTTATTCAAAGCCACACACACACACACACACGTACACACACCTTCTGCATGACTAACTTTCTCTTTGTCCGCTGCTCGCTGTTAGCACACTTTCCACATAAGATCTAGCGCAGGACAACTAAATCCACAGCACACTTTACAGAGCCAGAACAAACCAGTTATTGCCTCAAGAACCAGTATAAACAAAGAAGACATTTATTATTATTATTATTATTATTATTATTATTATTATTATTCAATCGCTATAATTATGGACTAATGGGTTTGTTTTTAAATTAGCAGGTATCTTCTTTCATACTGTCCCTGAGAGCAAAACACTGTTTACATTTCACTAAAGACAAATTTCTTTCAATACAAAAGTTTTTTGCCTTTTTACAAGAAATGAATTTTTTCTGACATTAGAAATCTTTCAAAACTCATTAATCATAAATCCCGAACGAATTTGAAATAGAATTTTTTTTTAAAAAATCCCATAGATTTTGGAAAAGGCTAAAGTTGGCGAATTAAAAATCTCTTTTTTTTCGCTGCTTTGGCTGCGGGGCCAGATGAGGCTGCAAAATGAGCTGAGATGGATTCAGGCGCAGCGGCAGCAGCTGATTCTCCCTCTCCGGCCAGATGGCTCCTCAACACAGATTTGCATTCATTTTCGCCTAATATCTTCCAAAATAGAGGGGCAGCTGCATTTGTTGTCAAATAAGGTTTAAAAGTCCCCCTTTTTAGGACGGGATCGTTACCTACGCGATGGGATTGTTGAACTTTTCTCCCCCCCACACACCCACAACCCCTCCCTCCCTGCCTCTCTCCGTCATCTATCCCTCCATCTCTCCATCCCTCCATCCCTTCACCTCGCCATCTCTAGTCAACAGTATCAGCTTTAAGGGGATTTACTCTAAAACCCTAATTTGGGAATCAGATTGAAATCGCTTTGGTGTGTAATCTGTATTAAAGATACTGTAGATTACAGTTACACGAAAGCAACCAGGAGGACTATTGATGTGTATAAAAGTTACGTTTTAATGTGTATTTTATTTAAATGTAAAATACCGGGAATTTTACATTTGGAAAAACGCAACGCTAAATTAAAGAAACATTTCTTATCAAATTGCGTTATTTATAACGACAAAAGTCACAGAAAGGATCAGACGTTCAACTTACAAAACACAACATCGAGATCATGTAGACGAGCATGAAATATGAACCTACAAGCTCTTTATATTACATTAAAAACGTGAAAATAAAAATTAAAAGCGATCATATAGTTGAATCAAATCCACGCGCGTCAAAGATAAATAATCTCATTATGATTTAAATTGTCATAAAACGTAATAATTTTATTACTTACGTATTTAATTAGACGGCCAGGCAGAGTAATGGCTTTCAGGAGGCGAGGCAGGAGCAACAGCTTTGCTAATTCACTTTATCTTTGGCAATAGTCATTAACCCCCAACACCAGCCAAACAGATTGCTCTCTAAAACACATCTCTCTTCTCACATCTTCTCCGTCCCCCCCACACCTCCTCCTCCTCCCTCCATCCCTCCATCCCTCCATCCCACCCTCCGGGTCCCTGGATAACCCACATCGGAGTTCAATTTTCGCCCATTAATTCAAAGATTAACATGAACACACACCCTGACAACTGGCTAAGAGAGAGAGAGAGAGAGAGAGAGAGAGAGAGAGACAGAGAGAGAGAGAGAGAGAGAGAAAAGGAGGAGAATCACCTTACCCCGTATCAAAAATAATAACCACTCTTCTTAAAAAAGCTCTTGTTTATTTTCAGACAGGCTCGGTTTGGTTTGGAGCTCGTGGGGTGGACGCACTGCATCCCACGAGCCTTTCCAGTTTCTTTCTTTTCTTTTTCTTTCTCCCTCTTTTTTTTCAAATGCAGTTTTCAGATCACGATTTGCAACCAGGAGTGCGTGTGCGTGAGCGTGCGTGTGCGTGAGTGAGTGAGTGAGTGAGCGTGTGCGCGTGTTCGCGCGCGCGCGTGTGTGTGAGAGTGTGAGTAGCCCGCTGCAGCGCTTCACACACTTCCAACTTTGCGCGTGCATGAAGCAGTGGAGGCTCTTAAACACGCCAGACGGTTTTTTGGAGATGTGAGGCTCGTTTTGGAGAAGCTAATCCACATGTTTGCTGCTGCTGCTGCTGCTGCTTCCATAGCGATGCATGGACGGTGATGATCTCACTCTGAACGGGAGAGAAAGCACGGACGCGCGCGAGCAGCCAGTGAGAGTCCTCTGAGCACATCAGTGGTCAGTCCTTTATTTTTCTTTTTTTTTGTTGTTTTTTACTTAAAAAATGAAAAGAACAACTTCACTTTGTAAATTAATTGCATCACTTTTAAATTTGAGAATTTTGGGCGTCATGCTGTAAATTTACGTTGTATTTACATTTTTTGTTTTTGCAGTTTCTGTTAATTTACTGGTACTTTTTAAAACAATATTTTGCATGCATTAAACAGTATTAAGGCCTACTAATTACCAACTTTTATATTATTATTATTATTATTATTATTATTATTCAGTCTATTGTTATTATTGTTCTTTCTAACTCTAAACTCCACACGTTGTTTTATCAGAAACGCTGCAATCACAGTTGCTCTCTCTCTCTCTCTCTCTCTCCTCCTGGGTAACTCGTGCGACAGGAAGCATCAACCCCCCCCCTCCTCTTCAACTACCCCCCCAACTCTTCTACCTACCCCCCAGCCCTCCTCCCCCCTCCCCCTTCCCTTATACGGTCAAAGCCCCGCCTCCTGCGCGCGTCATCCTCTGACAGCGCGGCTCCCGCGGGTCTGGAGTTTTGGCTCCCGGGAAAGGTTGCAGTCCTGGGGGAAAGAGGGCTGAGTTTAGTGCGCCTCCATCCAGTCCGCGAGACGCTGAAGGCCCCTCATCATCATCATCCTCCTCCTCTCTTCTTCCCCGCGTGCCGGGAAAAAACGCGAGCGGCGGCGAAAAAATCCCTCCATCCCGCGCGCCTTTATTTGTCTTTTTTTTTTTTAAAGGGGGAGCCAGAAGTGCTCCATTACAGCAAAGCGGCGCGCTTCTCAACTCCTGCATCTTTTACCTTTTTCAAAATTTTGTATTTATTATTTTGCATTGTTTTTTATACTGTTCTTGTTTCCACTCGGGGATGCTGCTGCCGTTGATGCGTTCTGTGCACGATGGAGCGAGCCTGAGACTGAGAGCATCGCCGCGGCGCAAAGTTGCAAGAAATGTTTAGTTGAACATTGAGGAAAAGAAGAGAAAGAAGAAGTAAAGAAAAGAAAACGGCAGCAACAACAACTACTACAACCACATCGCCAAGCAGAGCTGTTTGTTCGCCTTCACTTTTCACTTCTGCACCGGGATCGTTGATGCTGCGCTGATCCGAGGAGCCGAGACTTCGCGCACTGGGCTTTTAATTCTGTATATTTTTTCTTACTTTTTTTCCTTTCCATCGCGAGCAGAACACGAGCAAAACTTTCTCTATCCCTCGCTCTTTCTCTCCTCTCGCCGTCCGCGCGCGGAGGATCCTAGGGCTTTGCGTGTTTGTGTGTGTGTGTGTGTTTTTTTTTCTCCTCGTCGTTTCCACCGCGCCGCCTGCATTCATGTTCGGGATTCAGGACAACATACCGCGAGGAGGGACGAGTATGAAGGAGGAGCCGCTGGGCAGCGGGATGAACCCGGTCAGGTCCTGGATGCACACGGCCGGGGTGGTGGACGCCAACACGGCCGCGCAGAGGTACCAAACACACGGCCTTGAGCTTTGCGTTTTTCAGTTCTTACTTTATTTATTTATTTTTCTCCTAAAAATGCATTTCTCAAATCCCAGCACTACTGCCAGCGTATCAGTTACACTCCCACACGCATCTCTCCACGGGCCAACTGTTTAAGGGACCGTTTAGGAATTCTCCACAGAATTAACACAAAAAGAAAAAAAAGAAAAATAATGAAAGGAAAAAAAGAACGATGTGCTTCCACCGACTACATTTTGCATTTTCTTTCCCCATCACAAATACACCCACTCGCTTTTTTCTCGTTTTCCACGTGTTTTAAATTTTATTTTTATTCATTTTATTCCTTTTTGTGTGCGTTTCTAGTGGAGTTGGTCTGGCGCGAGCGCACTATGAGAAACAGCCTCCGTCCAACCTGAGAAAGTCCAATTTCTTCCACTTCGTGCTGGCGCTGTACGACAGGCAGGGACAGCCGGTGGAGATCGAGAGGACGGCCTTCGTGGACTTTGTGGAGAAGGAGAAAGTAAGCCACGGCTCTGTGGTGCTTTTAGAGTTTTTTACAGAGCTATTATTCATTGTTTATTATTTATTATTCATCTGTAAACGCTAAAGCGCTAAACATAAACATGCTGTACAAAACCCGCTGAAAAATTAACACTTAATCACGGTAAAAATAAGAAAACAATGACCTGGCGCGCGGCTGACAAAAAACAACTATGTACTTATTAATTATCATTCATTTGACACTGACTTTGAGATATTGTTGGTAGATGAGAAACTTTGGGCGATTTATTTATTTATAGCACCCAGTTATTTATGAAAGCATAACATGTGCCTATTGTTGTTCTTATTTTCATTATTATTGTTATTATTATCGCCTTAGTCTTATTGCTGTTATTATCATCATAATTATCAGAAACTCACTCGGAAACGCAGAAAAAGGCCACAAAAAATAAACAAGGCTAAAAGCGCCTGTTTTAAAATTTTATAAATGCCTTTTTTTTTCTTTTTGAAAATGTCGACAGTCCTGTTCTGATTTTACCCACTGCTTATTTTCAGGAACCAAACAGTGAAAAAACTAACAATGGGATTCATTACAAACTACAACTTTTATACAGCAACGGTGAGTCAAAGCTCTAATTACACGCAAACAGCGAGGAAGCGGAATTAAAATCAAACACAATCTGGTTAGATTGAAGAGAAGTTTAATCTCTTATGTGACAGTCTAATGTACATAATATCAATACTTCGCTTTTCTTCCTGTTAGCTGATAAAGTTCAGTAATATTGCACTGTATTGCGTCAGTGACGCTCGTGTGCTGAAACTGTAATTTTTGACGGATGTTGTTTTTATGTTGTTTTAACGTGCTGTGTGTTGTTGTGATAAATGTGCACTTTCTCTCAATCCAACTCTATCTGTCTCTCTGATTTCAGGAGTGCGAACAGAGCAGGATCTCTATGTGAGGTTAATCGACTCCATGACCAAACAGGTAAGAGCACTTCTGTTTTTATTATTTATTAGTCTGCGATTTTTCTAAATTAGCTCGGCTGCTCTTTGGCTGCATGACGCTGCTGGTGGTTTAGATGCGAGGATTTTGGGGGGGTCTGGCAGGTTTGATTGAGTGTGTTATTGCTGGATAATTTATCGCAGAGTTATTCGAAGTTGACAGACGACGTAAGATTAAAAATATAATGATAATAAAATACAACCGCGCGCTTTTGACCAATTTGGCCTATGAATTACAAAGAGGTTTGATGAAAGAGGGTTAAAATAAGCTATGGTCTTTCCCTCCTTGTTATCAGTTGCAGGTCTCTCTCTCTCCCTCCCTCTCTCTCTCTCTCTCTCTCTCTCTCTCTCTCTCTCTCTCTCTCTCCTTTCACCTCATTCTGTTTCATTTATCTGATATGATCCTGAAGTTACTCAGCCTCTTCAGCTCTCAAACTCTCCAATTCAGTCCAGTTTTCCCGCCTTTTATAAATAAATATGGTTCAGTTGTTCAATAATTATTCACATTCGACCATCAGTGAGAGGAGTTGGTGCTTCCTTTGAGGAAAATCAAACATCCTGTTAGCGTTTGTACTAAATGCGAGGTTTAATTTGGTGTTTGTGTCCATATCAGGGCGAACATCCGGGTCATTTAATGATTTTCCCCTTAAAATTTAGCATTTAATGATCAGCGACAGATTTATTGCATTAGTTCTACATTTAGTGTCAAATAATATGAAGGGTCCCTCAGTAGGTTGTGGAGACTCCGGTGGGCATAGAGTGGAGAGAGAGAGAGAGAGAGAGAGAGAGAGAGAGAGAGAGAGAGAGAGAGAGATTCATACTGGATATCATGTAAAAGCGATCCCTCCTTTCATTCCTAACGGTTCATTTCTGCGCGGTTTTGAAGAGCACCGCAGCTCCAGCCGCTCTCAGACTATGTTGTTGCTCATGTTGTCAGATAGCCGACAGGAATAACAGCGGAATAATGAAATAATAACAGTGATGTGCAGGTTTATTGTGTTCTGCGGCCTAATTGGTGTGGAAGTGATCAAAGAGCCAATGAGGCTGAACAGCAGCTTTATGGATTTTCAGAGTTTGAGTGGAAATAAATCAGAGCAAAAGCATTGAAAGTCACAGCAGATACATACACACACACGCGCGCGCGCATACACACCCACGGGTCATCCTCCGTTTTAAAAGCTCTTAAAGATCTGGACGAGACTTTTAGACCCAGTTTAATAATATCACGTGCGCGGCGGGGCTTTTGTTTATTGTTTATTATTTGTGAGAACTGGATTAAATCACCACTGTGAATTATTATTATTATTATTATTATTATTATTATTATTATTATTATTATTATTATTATTCGTGCATTTTTAATATTATTGCTTTTATTATACCAATAATAATTATTAGTAGCATTTCATTATTGTTGCTTTTATTATTTACATTTTACACACATTGAGTACATTTATATTTTACTTTATTTTACATTATTATGCTTTTTTTTCTTTTTGTCTTTTTTGTTACTTTTGTCTTCTCCATCACGCGCGCGGTTATTCGCAGTTTTATCAAACAAAATTTAATTTGGTCTCGAGCCTCCCCTCACCACATTCACGCGCGCGCGCGACAAAAGCATCAGGGTACTGTTGTAGCGAGGGATGCGAGAAAGAGAGAGATGCAGAGAGAGAGAGTGAGAGAGAGAGAGAGAAAGAGAGAGAGAGCGCACCTCCAGCTCTGCGCCATCTGTTAAAGCCAATGCTCAAAAGTTAGTGAACCGTACAGCGCGTTCAGCTTTTTATCTGAAGAAGAAGAAGAAAAAAGAGAGAGGGAGACGGAGAGAGAGAGAGAGAGAGAGAGAGAGAGAGAGAGAGAGAGAGGGAGAAATCATTGTTAGCGGCTCTAAAATAAACAGCAGATTGCCCATTAGCACTTTCCCCTCAAATATGTGCACATTAGAGCTCTCGGGTCTTGTGCAGCGCGGCCATCTGCATGCAGGCCATCTACACCCCCCCAACACACACACACGCACACACACACACACACACACACACACACCACACACACACACACACACACACACCACACACACTGCAGCATATGCGGCTTCTCATTCACTAACTCTTATTAATGCCACTTTACTTATCAGCAGCACCAACCTGCCAAGCGCTCACACTCACCTCACACACAGCAGCCTCCTCGTGCATTCAGGGGAATTATGTTATAGAGAAATCTTATAAATATAACTTATAATATCTATTATTATACATATTTTATGTAATTAAATTTAAAATCTAAGAAATATAATATTCGTAATAGGGTTTTGGTTAATATGTGGCGTATGCTCGTGCATAATTGTTCTAATGTGTTATTATTATTATTATTATTATTATTATTATTATTACTGCTATTATTATTATTATTATTATTATTATTGTTGTTGTTGTTGTAAATATTATCGTTCACAAATGTGATATTTTTATTAATATGTGTCAAACTCGTAATTTTATGCTTCTTAAAAAATTCGTAACTTTTATCAAAAATCGTATTTTAATTGATCTGATCCACTCTGATTCCTACATTTCGCTGTGCAGCATCAGCGAACATTACACCTGCTTATTAAGTTGTTAAGCACGTTTTTCACTAATGTCTCGCTTTCTTTTTTAAAGGCTATCATTTATGAAGGCCAAGACAAAAACCCGGAAATGTGCCGAGTTCTCCTCACACACGAAATTATGTGCAGGTAAGAAAAATAAATCTATCCAAATATGTCATGCATGTCATAACCACGTACCTGTTCAGCACGATTTCGGAAAAAATAAACTAGGTTTAGTTGGTCTAATTGCCAAATTTGATGCAGCTGATTTATATATGCACATCGTGAAGAAAACTGGTTTGAGAAAGGACAAAGAGATGTAGGTGGGATGCGGAGCTCGGTGCACAAACGCACGAGGAGCTTGGCCCTGGATGAGCTGTGGATTGGATGATGATGATATGCGCTGCTTTGGGCTGCTGTAAATGCTGTTCTGCCTCTGGTCGCGAACAAATCGCTCCACAAAGGCGAATGAAATCTGCGGAGGGATCTGGATTTATCTGGCTCGACCTGGACTGTAGCATTACCACATGCACACATGCACACAGGCACCTAGTGCTCGCTGACTTTCCACTGGTGGCGAAGTTAAGTTTGCAAAAGGTTTAAAGGGATTTCCCACTGAACTGCCTGACGACTCAGGCCTCTTAGAGCAGTGGTGTTGAAGCACAGTGACGGAACCTCATCATAATTTTTGTAAATCAAGATGGAAAAGAAAAATCTACTGTATTTTCTTCCAATTTTATTTTTTTTTCCCTTCAGATAGTGTTGCAAGATGCCATCTGCAACCTGAACAGCTTTCAGCCTGCAAGACAATGGCATTGTTATTTACAAAGCCCAAATTAGACAATTGCAAAACAAAAAAATAAAAGGAAAGGATGAGGGGTACAAACAATCCTGTTTCACCCACCAGCATCAGGCATCACTAACAGGCATAAAGGTCATGCTACAATGCCATTTTCTGCCACTGCCCACCATTAGCCCCCACTCATGTGTTGCAGTCGGGGCTGTGTTTGAAGAGGCATTAACATACTAAACACAGCTCTTTCTGTGTGCTGACGTGCTTCACAGATAACGCAACGTGTTGTCGTCGCTGTTTGCCGTGGCTTCTTGTGCTGCGAGTACATGGGACTTCTCACAGATGTGTTTCTTTTTTTGATTCGTACACACAAGTGGAGGTCCATACACTTTCTTTAATCACTTTAGCTGTCAGCTTAGAAGAGCTTTACATATTTTCCATACCATATGGTGTTAATTTAGCTCATTTGGACATGTAACCATTATACGAGTGTGCTTCTTTAAATGCAAGAGGCATAACGTGTGTGTTTTTCTCCTGTAGCATTTCAGCATTAATTAAAGCACTCATAATGGGGAGCGTCGTCGGGGCCCTCAAAATGGAGGCATTGGCACATTGTGAGAGATTGATGCAGGCTTTTGAGCCGGTAATTAATAAGTGCCCCACAGAAACGCTGGTTGAAGGTGGCATCTTGCATCCTCTCCAGATATAACAGCTTGACAATTAGAGGTAAACAAAAGGCGAAGCTGTGAAAGTGATCCTCCTGCCTCTTGGCACCCCCCCACTCCCCCCTTTCCTCCACAACACACTCCCGTCCTGTCCGCTGCTCAGCACCAAGACAAACACCGAGACATGCTGTTCCCCATCTTCTGGTTTACCCACCACCCGTTTCGCCCCAAAACCGCACAGCGTCAGGGATGGCCAGCCAGCATCCTCCGCCTATCTGAATATAAAGGGATTGAGAAAGTGATGAAGCTGAGGCACTAATACTTTCATGTAGACCGCCTCCTGAGCCTCCTTGTTTGTTTGTCTGTCGTTTACAGCCGGTGTTGTGACAAGAAAAGCTGCGGCAACAGAAACGAGACACCCTCAGACCCTGTAATCATCGACAGGTAAGGGCCTGCTCCTTTCTTCTTCTTCTTTTCCTCCTCCTTTCTGGGAGTGTGTTGGTGTGTTGTACCCGTGTCTACCTAGTAGTGTTAGGCCGGGCACTCGCCATAGAGTGTGTGTGCGCGTGTGTTTGCCCTGCGCAGGTGGGTTGACTTGGAAAAACCCGGGGGTGTCTTTAGGGACTCTGTAATTGCTAGCTGAGTTGTCAGGGGAAGTAGTTTCCTTAGCCCTTCCTCTCTGCCGGGCGAGCAGTCCTTTATGCCTAGAGAGCGTTTTTTGGCTTTAAGATTTGCGGCTCTGCCTCCTTCTTCATCCTAATTTGTTAACAAGTGCTTTATTCGCCTCTGTCTCCTCTTCCCCTATTATCTTCTCTGTAAGCGCTAGAGATGCCTGTTCACAGCTTCACACGGGCTTTGTTTCTCTTATAGGGTCCACAGTGCGACAGAGCGTTAGCGCGTGCGAGTGTGTGTGTGTGTGTGTGTGTTTATGTTCTTCTTCCGTACTGCTACTCCTGGGTAATGAGTAATATTTCTCAGCTGGTTGTTGGCGCTTACATGTTGATAACATTAGCATTAGCGTGCTTAAACACACTGACTCCTGCAGCATTGGTAATTGATGTTTTTCTTCTTCTCTGTTTAATTTTATTTCATGTGCTTATGACTCTCTTTTGTGAGCACTACCTCAAGGTTACAAACACTCAGCAAGTCTTGCAGTGCTTCCTTATCACCAATTATCTCGGCAGAGTGTACACGTGTGGGGCAGATGAGGTACAGTGCGCTGGCTGCTACTTCTGCTGCCTGGGCCTCTTGGAGATTAGTGAGCTAGAACAAGCCCACCTTGCTCCATAAAGGCTGCAGCAAAAGCCATGAACAACTGGAGCACTGTGCCAGTAGCAAGAGAGCATGGCCCTCTCTCTCTCTCTCTTTCTCTCTCTCTCTCTGTCTATCTCTGTCTCACTCTGCTCCGTTGATGTCGCAGACTTATCTCCCCATCGCGAACTTTGCTGTCCGCCGGGTGAGAAATTAGATTGTGGCGGTAGAAACACGATGAAACGAGCCGAAGCAAAAATATGCACCGCCAGTGGACAGCAATGCTAATGTTTGACTAGCTGAAATAGCTGTTTGCTTAGTGGAGAATGTTTGGTATCTGACAGAGGGAACATCTCTCTTATTAGTAATCAAATAGGGACAACCACTTGCTGCTGTCACTCATGACTAGCATGGAGTGTGTGTGCATGTCAGAGTGTGTGTGTGCATCAAGTGTCGGAAAAAAAGACTCACTCCCTGGGTGCTGAATTTATGGCCGTGCTTGCATGCTTTGAGCTCTGTGAGTTTCCTCTTGTCACACGTCATATGGTTATGATTTGGAAACATTGCTGTTCTACATGATAATGTGGAGCAAATCAGGCTGTACAAGGAGAATTGTACTGATTTGAAATGGTGAACAGAGAGCACTGACATGTTATTAGTGGGAATATAACAGCAATAGTTGTGAAAATGTTATTATTTGACCTGCACTCGTTGACTCCGACAATGTGGTCTGTTGTGAGTATCATTTAAATAAGGATTATTTACTGTCAAATGCATTGATCAAAAGGATTAACTTGTCCCTGTCATGTGTAACCTTTTCTCCTGCTGTATCTGCTTTGCTAAGCGGAGTGTTTGAGGTGACAAGCACGAGCCTCGCTCCGTAACCTTCCGTTTCTTCCGCGTGAACGAGTGGAGCGTTTGAACAGATACGCTGATACGCTGCTACAGCGTGTGAACAGTAATTAGCAGCAGGATGTTTTAATGGAGAGAATTGTGTTACACTGCCCTGTAGCGGAGTGGAGAGAGGAGGAGCGGAGCTGTGCGCATGAGGGAGGTTTGTTTTGGTTTTCGGAGCAAAAGATAAAACATGCCTCACTTCCTCTTTGGTAGTTCCTGCGATGTCTCGGCCACACCGAGCCCATTCATCCACGCAGCCAGCTTACAGTATATATTTACCTTCAAAGAGACACATGCTGAACACTGTACAACAGGGCGTCATTGATATTTAACGCACTGGCTCTTCCCATAAATTGCTTGGCTTTGTGTCCCGGCTAAATAGAGTTAGAGAGATCGGGTGTCAGCGCTTTGTGCTTCAATCTGGTGGACAATGCGTGTAACACAAGTAAAATAGGAAAAGGGGAACAGTGGAGCAGGGATTGAGTCTCAGGGAAAGAGGCCGCGGCAAAAGGAGGGGATATTGTCGTAAGTTCAAACAGTGGATAAAAAAGCTCACATTTTCATTGTGGGCAGCCTGAAAGAGCCAGGAGTATCGTTTTCATCCGTTCTGCACGATCACAAAGGCAGACGTGCTTCATTAGCCCACTGCATTGTCTGCGTATCGCTACTATGAGCAGATGATTTTATCCTTTCGCTCCCAGAATGAGGGGCCAGGACAGGGCCCATTAAAAGTGCCGAAATCTTAACCTCAAACGACTGAAGTTCAGTTCATTTTTTTTAGATAGCTGTATGTCATACAGTGTCAGAAACCATACAAGCAAATCTATTTGAGCATGCAGTTGTGGTTTGAGGCAATGATGATGTAGGCATGTACTTTACAGAATGCTAATCGGTGATAAGCTCCCATCACTTGTTGTCAAAAACTAAAGAAGCCTACTTCAGATGTTAAACGTGCCTCTGCTAATCAACTACATTCAAGGTTTTTGATTTTTCGCCAAACTATTGCTTTGACTACAAGCGGGGGGAAGACGGACATGGCACAAGGCAAATTCCTCCACACTCGACCGCCATCCGGACTAATTTCTGCCCCTTGTCCCTCGCTAGAACACTGCGGACCAAAATCTTCATGACCAAATGGTTTGTGGACTTGAAACGACTGGGGTGAGGAAAGCAGGGATGCCTTCATATGAGCATGTTCAACAGGCACTTGGATATAATGGTTTGTGCGGACATGGAGGGAGTGAATCTGGAAAGTGAATGGAGGGATTGTTTAGGCGGACAAGAGAGGGCCGATTACGTTACAATCAAAACATTTGACTGAGGGGGGGGGAGAGAAGGGAAGAGAAAGGAAGAGAAGGAATCAGAAAGACAGAGAGAAAGAGGGGGAAAGAGACATTTTTATGCAGCACTGGGCCATGCTGACCAGAGTAACTCGTGATCCATTATCGATAACATTCTCAGCACCATTTTTTCCCAGATGGCACACGGGCCAGGCGCGCTGCTCGCTGGCACGGGCGCGGACAGTAACTGGCACCCTCACGCTCCTGGCATTTTCAATGGAGTTTAGGAGACTTATCATTCCAAATGTGTCCTATTTTCCTGTAGGCAAGCCAGACATCTGTTTATCCTATTTTCTCTTGGACTTTGGTACAGCTTAGGAAAAAAAGAGGGGGGAAAAAAGAAAAAGAAAGAAAAAGTTAGTTGCATTTAACAGCTGTTGCAGAAATTCGATCGCAGTGCATCTTTAAATACTTCACCCCCGCATTGGCATGGATTATTGATCTGCAGGGATTTTGAAAGAAGGTAAAAAATAGTGGGTGAGATGGAACATAGGGGCCTAGCATAAAAGTGATGTGCGCTACATAAGCTCTACCAGACAGGTTAGCACCCATGCTGGCAGGCCACTACGTCAGGAGAGGATTGTGGGTGATTTCTGTGGCTTCGTCTTCATCCGTGGATCTAATAATACCGTCCTGACTCTGGCGCTGATCAGGGCTTTCCTAGCCACCGATCTCCCTTTCACTTCCTGTCACAAAGGTCAAGACAGCCTGACCCCTGGCAGACAGCCTCCCCTCTGCTGAATAATGCATGAGATTGACTTTTTTTTCCTTTCTTCTTTTGTCTGTACACAGTTGTGTGGCGGGACGGTTTTATTCCTATAGCTGAGCCGCCTGCACCTGTTCTCCTATTGGGCCTTGGCCGTAATTCGGGCCTGTTGCTGATTTCGCTTAACATTCATTATATTTCCATACGAGGGGGCTTGTCCAAAAGGATTATGGCTGATTATTAGCAGGCCTTGCCAGAAAGTCGTGTGCAGGGAAATCCTCACGTACTCTCAGGATTCTTCTTTCTTTTTTTTTTTCCTTTTATCACTAAATACAAACAGGATTCCGATGACTGTCCTGTTCCGCTCCTTGAAATGTTTTCCTCTCTTCTATTTTTATGATTTTTTTTTTCCTATCTTTTGTTTGCTTCTCTTACATGTGACGGTGCAGCTCTTCTTGAATCGCTCTCTCTCCTCCCTCTCTCCGGCATGCGGATGCTCGATTGCGGCCTGCTCTGAGCTCGGGCTGAACAAATGCCAGCATTTAGAAGGTCAGAGCTTTTGTTGGAGGGGAAAAAGAAAGCACTATGGAAATGAGTGGCGGCCAAAAAAGGGACATTAAACAAAAAAATTCAATTCATTGTCTCCCTTAATGTCATTTACATTTTTGGCCGCGTCCTGGGCTGTCGAGGAGGATTTTGGAGACGTCTTTAATTACATATCAGCTGCGGAGCAGAGAGGGCTGCATGGCGGGGAGGTGTGTGTGAGGGACCTGGACGAGACAGAGAGAGAGAGAGAGAAGGCTTGTTTGGAAAAGCTCCTGAATGGCAGGTTTTCACAGACCTGTACGCAGGGTAATTAAGAGAGTGTTAAGTGGAGAGTGCTCTGTTGCTCTCTCTCTCTCACCCTTTCTCTCGCTCACTCTCTCTCTCCTGTAGTAAGCAGCAGAGGGATGCTCAGCTGTTACTCTTGCCTCCAGCCATTTCAGTTCTGCATCTTTTTTTTTTCTTGTTCTTTGCTCAGGTGACATTCATGAGTGCATGAGTGAGTGTCGTGTGTAAGTAAGCATGTGTGTGCGTGTGCAAGTTCATACCCTGTGTTCATGTGTCCGTGTGTGGGGAGGGAGTTGTTTTTATAAGTGTGTGTATGTGAGAGAGAGAGAGAGAGAGAGAGAGAGGGAGAGAGAGAGAGAGGGAGAGAGAGAGAGCCTAGAGCTTCATTAGTTCTGATTAATGGGGGAGCAGACAGCAGA